TTTTGTTTTTAAATGAAATGAATGAATTTTTTTAAATAAATATTTGCACAAGGTCAGCTGCAAATTATTTTCTTGTTTACGTATTGTCTGTGGACTGCAGTGTTGTTTTCAGTACAACAATGACAATCTTATCTTATCTTATCTTATCTTATAAACTAATCTTATCTTATCTGCAGTCATCTTTGGAGAAGATGTTGCCTTCGGTGGAGTTTTTCGATGCACAGTTGGGCTGAGAGACAAATACGGTAAGGATTCATATTCTATTCTATTGTATCATTGCTGGTTGTGTAAGTGTGTTTCTTCCACTGGGTGGCGTCAGAGCATCACATAGGACCTCAGTGTTCATGTTGGCTCACAGGAACTGCTCACTGTTCACCTGCAGGACCAGGAGGATCCAGCAGTGCAGCTTTAAAGCACACCTGTTCCTGACATTAACACTGATGATGTAAGAATCATTTTAGACCAAGTTATCCCAGGTTTACCTGCAGCTCAGTTACACACATGCACATCCTGCTGCGTTGTGTGTCAGTGTCCATCTGTGAGGTGCAGCAGTTACCCTCACACAGAACACATCCCATTAGGAGGTTTTAAAAGCTCCAGTTCTGATTCCAACAATATTTGACTGTTACACATGACAAAACAGGCTGTATAACACAACAAAGCTAATTCTACAGGGTGACAAGTGTGTGAGTCTCCTCTGTAACAGACACATGTTGCTTACACAACATGTGTCTGTTACAGAGAGACTCACACACTTCAATTTTTCATTTATTTTACATATTTATTATAAAAATCTTGAATGTTTGTACAGATGTTGAGCTGAAATGATGTATTCGAGTCATTCTCTGCAGGTCTGATGATGTGTGAGGTGTTTGTACAAACCTTATCTATAAACTGTAACTTCAGCCCTTTTCACCTTCAGGTGATATTAGTTTCCAGCTGTGGCATTAGGTGCTGTGCAACATGTGTTTCTGCAGAAATGAACATATTTCTTCAGGTTCTCGTTTAGTGTCAGATGTTTGATGCAACTGTTTCCATAACTGACAGTTTGAAGTGTTTCAGTTGGGTCTACACTAGGGATGCATGATATATCAGTATTAATATCTGTATCGGCCAATATTGATCATTTTTTAGAATATCTGTATCGGTCTGATAGTGCTGGGTGGTATACCGTTTTGTACAGAAAAGCGGTTTTTATTTTTGTTATGATAAGACTTTTCTGAATACCGGTGTAAATAGCCTGAACACATGTGGAATGTTTCATCACAGCTGACAGTGAACTGTTTCCCTGGGGACACGTTTCCTCGCAGCACCGCTAAGCACATTAGCATGCTAACGTTATTGTTGGAACAACTGGTGGCAGGTGGTGTGTTTCAGCTGCTTATATGGTCTGACGTAAAAAACATCCCGTTTTCACCATCACTGAATAGTAAACACCTCTTCAGTGACGTGTACGGTTAGATTTAATGCACTACGTTATAATGGAGACGTTACTGCACGGAGACTCTAGTGTGCTTCTATTGTGAAAAGCCTGGGGGGAAGTAGTTTTGTAGTGTAGTGGAGTTGACTGGTGTGTAAGGTGAGTCGTCCTTTTAAGTTTTATTAACACGTAACGATAGACCAGGTAATGATCTCTTCTCAACACTTCATGATCGGACCTAAATGCATGATTACTGTCTACAGCCAGGCAAAGAAGAACAGACGTTTAGAGGAGGGAAACAGTCAGACAGAGGTACAGTAACAGAAAAAAGTCAGTAAACAAAGTTTGTACATTTTATTATCAGCTGAGCTGTGAGGAAACACAATACCATCAAATACTGTGAAACTGGTGTAATTGTTGAAAATACCGTGATATAAAATTTGGGTCATACCGCACAGCTCTACGGTCCGATACGTAAAACTGGGCCGATATTAATGTGTGATATTGATTCCCCACTTTTTATCTTTGTGTTTGTGTTTTGGGAGGAGAGCTGGTTGGTTGAGCAGCATCTGTTTGGTCATGTTGTGATACTGATGCTGCAGCAGGAATAACTGAAGTAGAGCCGTGTCAGAGGTCTGCTTGTTTTATCAAGAAAAGACACAAGTGTGTTTGTGCATATATGTATAATATAATTTGTGTGTTTGTGCACATATGTATAATATAATTTGTGTGTTTGTGCACATATGTATAATATAATTTGTGTGTTTGTGCATATATGTATAATATAATTTGTGTGTTTGTGTATATATGTATAATATAATTTGTGTGTTTGTGCATATATGTATAATATAATTTGTGTGTTTGTGTATATATGTATAATATAATTTATGTGTTTGTGCATATAGGTATAATATAATTTGTGTGTTTGTGAAATATCTGTAAATATTGGTTATCAGCCATAACATCAATAATTATATTGGATATTGATATTGGCTGAAATGTCATATCGGTGCATCCCTAGTCTACACACTTGACTGTGTTTTCATCCAAAACAAGCTGACAGCAGAGGAACCAGCCAGAGAGACTTGTTCACATCATGGAGGGAAATAATCAGCTGACTCCAAACAAAAGGCCATCTAGCTTCTCATCTAGTTTTATTATGTGTTTACAGACCCTGAGTGTGAATCCATCCAACAGTAGCTGTTTACGTCAGAACTGTGACCTCAGGAGGAGGTTCATTATTTCCCACCTCCTCCTGGTGTCCAGTGATGAGCACAGAGCTGGTTTTATCCTCTCACTGCACATGTGGTGACTGGAGCAGAGGTTCCTGCAGGGCGGACACTGTATGAATGGTTTTTACCACCTCCTGATGTGGCCCTGCAGCTGTTAGCTGGCCCTGAGAACAACATGTGGATCTGTTCCTCGTCTCCCTCTGTCTGCTCAGTTTGGTTTTATGAAAACATCACGTTTATTTATTTAAAATTACATTTTATAAAAGCACGAAGCTTATGCACAGGGTTCCTGCAGATCCTTAAAAATCTTAAGTCACTGAATTCATCAATCCAAAAATAAGGCTTTAATTAGCCTTAAAATGTCTTAAATCAATCTTTCAGAAGTCTTAAATGTTAACATATTGTAAGTAGGATGATTGTAATTCATCTCAAATATTAAAATAATTGTTAACATTTATTTATTTTTTTATATTTACATGCAGACATTCCACTTTGACATCATTTCCTGTTACTTACAGGTGCTGGTCATAAAATTAGAATATCATGAAAAAGTAGATTTATTTCAGTAATTCCATTTAAAAAGTGAAACTTGTATATTATATTCATACATTACATACAAACTCATATATTTCAAATGTTTATTTCGTTTAATGTTGATGATTTCAAATGACAACAAATGAAAATCTCAAATTCAGCATATCAGAAAATTAGAATCTTGTGAAAAGGTTCAAAATGGATGGCACCTGGTACCACACTCTAATCAGCTAATTAACTCAAACCACCTGCAAAGGCCTTTAAATGGTCTTTCAGTCTAGTTCTATAGGCTACACAATCATGGGGAAGACTGCTGACTTGACAGTTGTCCAAAAGACGACCATCGACACCTTGCACAAGGAGGGCAAGACACAAAAGGTCATCGCTAAAGAGGCTGGCTGTTCACAGAGCTCTGTGTCCAAGCACATTAATAGAGAGGCGAAGGGAAGGAAAAGATGTGGTCGAAAAAAATGTACAAGCAAGAGAGATAACCGCACCCTGGAGAGGATTGTGAAACAAAACCCATTCAAAAATGTGGGGGAGATTCACAAAGAGTGGACTGCAGCTGGAGTGAGTGCTTCAAGAACCACCACACACAGACGTATGAAAGACATGGGTTTCTGCTGTCGCATTCCTTGTGTCAAGCCACTCTTGAACCACAGACAGCGTCAGAAGCGTCTTGCCTGGGCTACAGAGAAACAGGACTGGACTGCTGGTGAGTGGTCCAAAGTCATGTTCTCTGATGAAAGTAAATTTTGCATTTCCTTTGGAAATCAAGGTCCCAGAGTCTGGAGGAAAAGAAGAGAGGCACTTCATCCACGTTGCTTGAAGTCCAGTGTAAAGTTTCCACAGTCAGTGATGGTTTGGGGTGCCATGTCATCTGCTGGTGTTGGTCCATTGTGTTTTCTGAGGTCCAGGGTCAACGCAGCCACATACCAGGAAGTTTTAGAGCACTTCATGCTTCCTGCTGCTGACCAACTTTTTGGAGATGCAGATTTCATTTTCCAACAGGACTTGGCACCTGCACACAGTGCCAAAGCTACCAGTACCTGGTTGAAGGACCATGGTATCCCTGTTCTTAATTGGCCAGCAAACTCTCCTGACCTTAACCCCATAGAAAATCTATGGGGTATTGTGAAGAAGAAGATGCAATACACCAGACCCAACAATTCAGAAGAGCTAAAAGCCACTATTAGAGCAACCTGGGCTATCATAACACCTGAGCAGTGCCACAGACTGATCGACTCCATGCCACGCCGCATTGCTGCAGTAATACAGGCCAAAGGAGCCCCAACTAAATACTGAGTGCTGTACATGCTCATACTTTTCATGTTCATACTTTTCAGTTGGCCAACATTTCTATAAATCCTTTGTTTTTATTGGTCTTCAGTAATATTCTAATTTTCTGATATGCTGAATTTGAGATTTTCATTTGTTGTCATTTGTAATCATCAAAATTAAATGAAATAAACATTTGAAATATATGAGTTTGTATGTAATGTATGAATATAATATACAAGTTTCACTTTTTAAATGGAATTACTGAAATAAATCTACTTTTTCATGATATTCTAATTTTATGACCAGCACCTGTAGATGCAAATATCTCAACAGCTGTCCATCTGAGCAATGTGACGTTTGTTTTATAATATGTTAATAATGTTGTCTTTTCAAAAAAGCATTCACTTTTCTTACATATTTTGATGTCACAGCACTTTAAAGTTTCATCTACAGCAAATTGGGGTTAAGACCCCACTGTGGGTCCTAAAACTACAAATTTTGGGTCATTAAACTGACTGCTGAGAATGTTTCTGCTATATTTGATGAAAAAGCTGTTAGATATGGATAAAACAATTGGTCTATAAGCAAAATATTTGAATACTTCAACCAAAAATACTTTGATTCATGACTTGCTGCCACAGTTTTATCTTTTTGTCATTTGTGTTTATTATGAAATTGGTCTTAAATTTAATTTCAGTTGGCATTAAAAAGTCTTAAATTTAACCTTCTTTAAACTGTAGGAACCCTGTGTGCACACAGTTGAACACAGCTTTAAACAAATCTGTCTTTATTTGTATACCATGTTTCTGACTGAGTAAAGCACATGTTCTTGGCTGTAACCTGCTGTATACCTGGAGTTAACCTGGGACACTTCACCTCTTCATAACCTCTGATTAATGACTACTTCCTCTGAAGGATTTCTGTTGCAGTGTTTGCACATTGAGCTTTGGGAGCACAGAGGGCACATAAGGCCAGAGTTTCACTGCAAACTTCCCAGCAAAGCAGAAAAACCAGGATTGGCAAATACACAAAGATGAGAGCAAAAATAACACTCACAACCCAATTTTAGCTCGTCAGTCTTGTGGTTGTGTCAGATTATAGGGTGGAGAGTGGAACTGTTCCCTTCTGTTTGGACTCCATGGGGGTTGTGTGAGTAAATCACTGCATTGGTTCACTGCAGCTCAGGAGGAATCATCAGCTTCATTTATTATAGCAAAGACTGTAATGTTCAAGCTCATCAGTTCAGTTTATAAAGGCTTTGAGTAGCTTTGCTGTTTCTTCCAGTTGTTGTACACATCCTAAATGAAGGATCCATTCAGTGATCTTTGCAGAAATGATTGTCGTTACAAGTTCAACACAAGAGAGTTCACAACTAACCTCTGCTTTTCCTGATTGAACTGCTGCTCTTCAGTCACTGGAAAAACAAGGCTTTATTTTCTCTGTATGCTTTTTACATGTTGGCTCACAATATAAACCAAGTGTTCTCAAACCTTTTTGGGTCTGCGGACCCCTTACAAGGGTGAAAAATTTCCAGGGACCCCCTCATAAACCCCATGCTGTTAGTGGAAAATAATTTTCTGTTATTCTAACCCCTAAATGCCATGGTAATATTATTTTTTGTTTGGTTTAGTATGCTTTTTTTACTAGTGCATTATTCCCCATATGCATTTTTCAAAATAAAAACCAACTTAACAGTTTATTGGAATTTTTTGAGGACCCCCAAGACATGGCTCGCAGACCCCAGTTTGAGAACCTCTGATACAAGCAATCTAAAGTCTTTACCAAGTTCTAGTGTGGACACAACCAACCAACACATTTCTTCTTGTTTAACAACTTTATTTATCAGTTATTAAACATTATTTGTTAAAAAAAAAGCCAAGACTGAAAATCAGTTTTTATTTAAAAAAGTAAAAAAGATTCATCAGTTTATACAACCATTGTTAACAACAGTAACTCAGACATTTTCTGTGAAACTTTATCTGGTTGTGGAAATATTTTGTTAAAACTTTTGTTACGTTGTCTCAGTTTATTGAGACTTGTAGATGTTTTTACTTTGGTGCACAAATGTGCCAGGCTCTGTGGCTGCAAGACAATCCCAAACCATCATATCTGCACCACCCTGCTTGGGTATGATGAGGCATTTATGCTGAAAAGCTCTTTGTTTTTTCAAACATGGTTCTGCTGCACAATATGAGTAAACTTCTGTACTCTGGGCTTGTGATCATCTGTCCAGAGGACATTGTTTCAGAAGTCATCAGTTTCATGTAAAACCTTCAAGTCTTACTGTCAGGGGTTCCCACAGGTCATTATAAGGCTGGTGGACCACCAGGCTTTACACGCCTCTCTGGTTAATCTTTGTGTGTCAGAGTGTCGACCTGTGGACCATGGGCTAAAGTAGGAAAGCTAAAAAACTATCGTAATGAGTGTGTGTTCAAAAACATCAAAAACTCTTTACAGTTCAACAATATGTTAAAAAGGCTAAATAATAATAATAATAAAAATAAAAACCACAGCTCCTCCATCTGCTCTCTGTCCCAGCCAGGGAT